TAGATGTGCCACGCTCAAAGTCCAGCTCCATTTTCTCCTGGGCCATGTCGGAGACTTGCAGCCAGGCACAGCGAACAGTGCTCAGCTCCTGGTGCTTAGCTATGGACTCACGGCAGGACTGAGCTGCTAGGGACTGGCAGCTAGGGGCGGGGGCTAAGGGGCGGAGGCTTGGGGGCGGGGGCTAAGGGGCGGAGAAAAGCAGGAAGGAAGGAGGATGAGGATGAGGATGAGGAGGGATGATATCGAAGGAGGGAAGGAGAGTGGAAAGGTAATGGAGGGTGACAGAATAAAGGAAGAAAGAAGAAAAAGGGGTGAAAGGAGGTTGGAAAAGAGCAAACGGGAGGGGAAAGGACAGATTGAAAACAGTGTAAAAGGCGGAGGAAAGAAGGAATTGAAAGATAGGGGGGAGAGAGAGGGAAGGGTCGGAGGGAGGGAAGAGGACCAGGGCGGGGGGGGGGGGAGGAAAAGGACAATGTATGGGGGAGAAGCAAGGAGAGGAAAGAGGACAGGGGAGAAGAGCAGGAGGGAGAGGAAACTAGGCAGCAGCGGAACTCATGCTATCTTTTAGCCAAGGACCTCAAGCGGGGGCCGGGCTATAGACCCTGCAGCGGCGCTATCACCGAGGAGCTGACAGTTGGGCAGGACCCAGTTGGGCGGCCTTGGCGGCTCCAGCTCCCCATGCTTAGGGACGGGGTCCAGCCCCCCATGCTCTGGGACCCTGTCCCAGAGGCTCCTCTACCCTGTGTTCGGTACTTCTCCTCTCCCTACCCCCCTCCCACCTGGAGAACAGGTGGGGGGTTCAGCCCCTCAGCCACCACCACGGTGCCTGATCTTCCTCTCTTTGTTTCTAATGGCCCGGGGGAACCCCTTGGTGCCAAGACCAAAATCTACAACCTGCCTTCTTTTGCTCCTCCCACGCTTCGGAAGCGGGAACCTCCGCGGAGCCAGGTCTTCCGCATTCGGGCACCCATCGGGTCCTGCGCACGCGCCCGGCAGCCGCGCCCATGGTCCCGCGGGCACAGAGCATGCGTGGGAGCCCCGCCCCCGCAAACCTCCCCCAAAGGGGAGGAGCGTTTCCTGGGGGCCCCGGCGCTTTCCTAGTTGGTATTGGCCAGGGGAACCTAGCGCCCGATTTTGAATAGAACCAATAACTTAGAGACACTGGAGCATCGTCTTTCTGGAAGAGTTTGAGCCAATATTCAAGGGAAACAGAAACATGAGGACTCTGCGTTATGTCATTCCCAATTTGTGTGCTCTGATTTCTGCGATCCCCGCTCATTTTTTTTAACCCTTCGATTTTGTTGGTCTTCGACAGGAGTGGCCGATTTCGTTTTCAGATGATCTATTTGGTGACTAGACTAAAGGGAAGTGAAAAAACAAAAGCAATGGTGTAAAAACAAAGAATCTTACGAGCGTTTACAGTGAGAAGCACTCATCTCCATTTTACAAGTACTGTTAACTTCAAATATATCAGGAAAAGCCCTGAAGAACAAGTAGCAGAAGTATTTTACTTTATAGGATTTATGGAGACCCTGGGAATCATTATTTGGCATGTGTGCGACCTGAAATTATTTATTTTACAAACATCTACACAGCAGTTACTGTGTGCTTGCATTATTCTAAGAACTTTAGAAATGTTAAATCATTTCATCCTCACCAATTGAATGACCCTGAACGATGATCATTGTATTGTGTTAATCATACATATCTAGAAAGTACAAGAAATTTAATCATTATGAAGTTGGTTTCAAAATTTAGCAAAACTAATTTTACCTGGCCCTTAATTCAGTTGATTCATATTAAACTTGTCAAGCCCAGTCGTCATTTTATTCCTCGATGTTTGTTTTCTACTTGTAATATGAGAGTTTTTAAAAGCACTTTTGAAAAGTTTCTTTTAAATTGCCAATATTTTCCTGCCAGCTGGATTAGAAATGCAAACTCTGTTTTTGACCAATGTATGTATCTCTTTATCTCATGGTCTTAGCAAACCTCCCACTCCATCCGCTCAAAAAATTATAATGCATTCTGTTGTTCACAATAACAACTATACAATCATTTTTGAACACATGCACAGTCCCTAACTCTGAGAAGTCAAACAATTTCGTGGAATCCCTAATTTTCAGGAGCTTAACAATTAGGAGAAACTCAAGGATATATAAGAAGATGGATGCTACCTTGGCCATCATTTCCAGGTTTTATTCACATCACTCTTGCCTACCTAGCTTCTTTTACTCTTCATGTAAATTTATGGGAGGCTTGGGATGTTTGTAATTTGTGGGCTTGGGGTCAACTTGCTCTTGTGAGTTAACATGTTACTTAAAAGTTGCCATGACAACTGGTGAAATAAAGAGCTAATTATGACATGTTTGTGGGACACCTTTTATAAGGGGCAGATGGTAGCAGACGGGGTCATAGAAACAGGAGTAGCATAAGTGTCAAGGTATGTCTAAACAAACCAGCAATCTGAGATCATGGCATATTACTATGGAACAGCAAGAATTGATCATGAAACACAGCTAAGTTGGTATAATAGTGTGGGTAGAAATGAGAAGTAGTAAAAATAAGTTCTTTAAATGTTGTAATTATGTGTTTGCCACTATAGTATACAGAATTCTTTGTTTTTGTAATACTTGTTCCTTTTGACATTCCAACTTGTGTATGTATTATGAGTCCCGGCTATATCTTTACAGGTTTTGGGTTCTTGACATGTAGCTGCATTTCAGTTAAAGAGAATGTCTCCCGTTTGGTAATAGGTGGAAACTTATCTCCATCTCATGTACTTAGTCATTTCATATTACTACCCACTTTTTAAAAGCAGTCTCTTAGTTGCTCTTTCCTTGTTTTATTACTCCCATTATCTTAATGTTACGGTATTTAGAATTTTTTAAATTAGATATCTATTATGCTTAGGCATGATGAAATTTTGTCTATTCATTCAAAATATATTCATTAAAAATTCTTGCCTGCCAAGAATATTAGCAAACTCTTTAAAAAGTCTAATGAGCAGTAGAGTGGAGGTAAGATCTTATTCTCTGGTGTACTCCATATTTTCCTGCTATTTAGATAGTTTGTTTTTGAACCTCTGTTCTATATTTAACTACTGCCTCCTGCATACACCCTGACTTTACTCACATTTAGCTGCCATTTTTTATAAACTTTACAAGTGTCCTGGGAACTTTAACATTGGCTTTCAGGAGATCTTGGTACTAGCTGAGATTCTACTGCTACCTAATTATGTGACATGAATCTCTCTGGAATTGTATCAACTGTAAAATAGAAATGATACACCTACTTTACAAGATAGCTGCGAAAGACAGATCATTTAAACCTGCATTTATTCATGAAATAATTTAATAAGTAGTCATCAAGTGCTTATGAGTACAAAAACAGTGGCCAGAGAAATATCCAGAGGCACGTTTTCACTTTAAGGGGTGGGGAACCTTTTTTCTGCCAAGGACCATTTGGATATTTATAACATCATTCACGGGACATACAAAATTATCAACTTAAAAATTAGCCTGCTATATTTGGTCAAACATTTAATTAACTCACCCCTAATGCCTTGGCAGGGCCAGATCAAATGATTTCTTGGTCCTCATACAGCCCATGGGCCGGCTGGACAATCCCCACCCTTAACTTAAATAGGACAGAAGAATTTGGACTTTGCCACTTATTAGTTGTAATTTTAGTAACCCCTCCTTTGAAAAAAATGGCTATTGTGATGGTACCTACCTCAGAGTTATTGTAAGCCTTAAAAGCAATCACATACTTAAAGTGCTTAGGACAGATAGTACCTGGGACAGAGTAAGTGCTCAAAAAATGGTAGCTATTGTTAACATGTCTTACATCAGGAATGGTGACTCCAAATCATCCTCATGTCTGGGATTTAGGTAACTTAATCCTGCCTAATATAATTAAGCTTTTCTTTTTCTATTCTCTGAATGAATGAAGAATGATTATGATCTTTCATGTTATAACTTGTCTTGAACTGTTTCAAGATAATCCCATTATTTTAAGTTCACCACTGATTGATTAGTTGAGCAGGGTTAATAATTGAACCAATTAAGACAAGTTTGTGAAATCTTTTTTAAAACAGTAAAGTGCTATGTTATTACTATTTTAAGAACTCCCATGCCACTAGTTGCACTTGTTTTCTCTGCCAGTTCTCTATGATTCCTAAAATGTGTGGTTCTACAAAATTATTAGCATGAAGTTTCAGCACTCAAAATTTGAAAAGAGCAGTTTTAAAAATGTTTTGAGCCATGACAGCATTGTTAAGTGGAAACACTGATTTGGATGGATACTAAATTCTGCGATATTTAAGAAAATAAGCCTCTCCGCGTTACCTCTAATCTTTTTCTTAGATAAATAGCTTTAAAGAGCTAGATTTTATTCAGTGTAAAAAATATACATTATTTGCTTATGTTAAAAAATAATGAAACTACATGGAAAACAATGATTCGTCTGCCCAATTGATTCATTTGGGTTAGCGCTTTACCAGGACCCTTTGGGAGTATGTGGCTTCTAAGCACAGAGGAGTGGTTTTGGTTTCCCTCCCACTCCCTCCGCCCCCCAGACTTCAGCTTTTTAAAAATTGCAAAGTTGTAGTGTGTCTCCTATAACAAGATGGAAAAATTTGTCATGGGAGGTTACAAGCTTTTGGCCTCAGTCATACAGCGTTAATGGCTTAACCAAAACTGAGAAAATTGAGTATTAGATATAAGGCGGAAAGGATGGCTCTCCCATACACCGTACTCCTCCCCACCCATTATTTCCTAAACAGTGGTTAAGGAAACCATTCCAGAGTTTAACATAGGAGCAGAGGATTGACCTCTGTGAATCTGCACTAGAAAGAGAAGGGAGGACCGAGCTTGGCCAAACAAACAAACAAAAACAAAAACACGGCAGCTCCCTGACTGCGCCTGCGTACGTGGCCAGTCTAACAGAGGCGACAGCAATAATGCTCATTGCTTGCGCAGTAAGCACACGCCAACCCGCCCGGCACTGGGCGCAAGCGCAGAAGGGCGACGCCCAACTTAAACACCAAGATAGCTGGTGTAGTCTTTGCTTTAGCCCGAAAGGCTTACCTGATTTTTGCCTTGGCTCAGCAAAATGAAAGAGAAGGATTTGCGGATGTAAACTAAGACAAATTCATTTTCAATATAGGTTTGGAGGCGGAAGATCTCAGCGTTAGTGACCCCGAGCTTGAAGGCGGGGGAGGGGGGTATTGTCCGTTCGGAGCCAGCACTGCCCCACTTTGTGCCTGCTAGTATTAGGGCTGGTAAGGTAGCAACGGTGAGCACTTCTAATAGCTTCCTCCTCTCTTCTCTTCTCCCCCCGTTCTCCCTACATCATCTCCTCACCAAGTTGACCTGTCCGTATGCCAGAAAACCTTGAGATCATAGAACTAAGCAGTAGCTTCTGCCTCAACACGGACATGGCACAAGAGAAAATGGAACTAGGCGTGGAGCTGCTGCCAAGTTCAACCATCACAGCCGGCACATCCTGAGAAGATCCAACAGCGCCCCTTTGATCATTGAGCTTGGGTGAGCAGGATTGAGATACTGGAAAAGGCAGAGGGTGGGGGGCGTGGCAAGAGTTGGAGAAAGTGACTTCCAAAAATATTCCCATCCCTTTATTCATCAAGGTTCTGCAGGTATCTCTGTTGGTCTTGGCGTCCAAAGATCCCACCCTCAGCCTAGAAGGGAGTGGGAGGGGCTGGCCAGAGGGAAAGCTCACACCCACCCGGAGGTTGATTTGAACTTGAATCTCTTCTGAAAGTCCAGCAGCACCCAATAGCAGCAACCAATTGATGTGGAGCTTGACTTTTTCTAATTCACCTCGTCTCTTATCCATTCCTCTGAAGAAACTGAACATTCCCCTCCATATTTTCTATGATAACTAATTTTTGTCATTCTCTCAGCTGCTTTGTCACCTTTGACCTTCACCTCCAGCAAATGGAAATGGTTGGCAAGCAAATAAGCTTGGGCCTTTTATATATATATATATAGTTTTTATTGGCACCAAAAATTTAAGTACCACAGAAAGTTTATCTAAATTTTGCATTTTGTATTCTCAGTGGCTAATATTGCCCCCAACTTGGTTCTTAGGTGTGTGTGTGTGGGGGAAAAACACACAACTCTTTTTACATGTAAAGCAAATTATATATATATAATTTAAACCTTATTTATATATATATATATAAATTTCATGGGGATTTTCAAGGGAGTGCAATTGGAGGAGAACTTTATATAAAGGCTCTTTAGAGGGCTGATACTGAAACAAATATGGTTTAGAAACACTGCTCTAACTGATAGTTAACTGTATTTTCTGCACATATCCAAAGGTCTAGCATGAGTCACGCTTATTTTTTCTTAAAATAGAATTTTAAAGTGAAATCTCGCATTTCACATCCCAATATCATAAAGTTTTCTCAATATTGTAAAAATGTCAAAAATGTACTTACTACATACTTTGCTCCTCACCTTTGGCTGGCATTAAACTAATCCGTAGTTGTAAATAGAAACTATTAGAAGTAAACTCAAAGACCAGATCTACCTTCCTTGTTTAACCTATAAGGAAACTGAAGCCCATAAATCTCCAAAATGACAAAGCAGTAGAGCCAGTACTAAGAACCAGTGTCTCCTGACTCCTAAGTTACTGCTTTGTCCACTACTAATCAACATCTAAGCTGATTAACTCTAAACAAATGCAGCTTTCTGGTCATTTGAGGAAAGGGAGAATATAGTGTTCTAAAATGAAAAGCAAACTAAGACTAAACAGAAAATAACACATTACCCTTTTAATAGGCAGATAGAAAAGTAAAGGATGCGGGGAGCAATTCTGCATGTTGTGTTGAGAATTTTACTCTAATCCTGCTGTGTGGATAAATTATTATGAACCCACTCTGCTAATAGAATAAAGCACTTAGGGAGAATGTTGGTTTTCCTGGAAGCCTTATGAAATGAAAAAACAAACAAACACAAGTTGCATATTGATGATAGAGGATATATACTTGAAGGAACCATGTGGATCCTGTTTAATATATTAAGTGCTGGAGCAGGGCGGGGTGGCAGGACCCTTCCCCAACCCCCAAAGTCCTGGAAACAAAGAGAGTGATTTTAGTTATCCCTTCATCCTTTGCTTTGTTCTGAAAGGGATTTGAATTTTTTTTATTTTATCATGAGAGTATAGTTACAGTGTCAAATTCTATAGCTTAAGATCCTGCTGCATGAAGAGAAATTTGTATAGAAGGGTTGTGGGGCAAGTGCATCTTTATCTAGAAGGAGTTAAAGATAAAGAAACCTCAAAGTGGACCAAGCCCAAAGCCTCTTGTTTATGAAAAAGAAGTAACAGGAATGGGATATGAAATGCCTGAGGTCAGGAAACTTGTCCAGATGATCTATGGGCATGTTTTGTGCTGTTCGGGCAAGTTTAGGGTGTGATCAGAGAGGTTACACTGAAGGAAGAGAAAGTTAGAGTAGAATTACTTTAAACCTTAGTTGAATTCATTTTCACCTCAGTGTTTTTCAGTTGCACATGTACACTGCTCACTTTTCTCACATTCTCTTAGTTGGGCCTCTAATACTTGTTGCCTTGCTTCTTTCACAGGTTGCTAAATATTTTTGAACTTCTTTCAAGTAATTTTCCACTTTTGCTTGATACTTCCTGTACATAAAGACTCAGTCTCTCTTGCCCCAGCATTTGCAGAATTTGTTCCTTAAATGTTAATTCTTTAATGCATGTGTTACTGTGTTTAAGAAGTCCCTGCACTCTTTTGAGTACATCTTGTATTAATAGAAATACCAATGTCTACAATTTTGAATCTCTTGGTTCTTTATACTCTTTAGCCCTCTAGTTGGCTTAGTTCACTACTGGTGTCAATAACTGTATTTAAAAGGAGTTTTTTTTTTTTCTTCTACTTCTCTAGCTTTTATTAGAATTAGAAATTAAGTTCTTGGATTTCTGACAGTGCCTTCCCACTTTAAATACCTTTAGCCAAACCTCTGAGTTTACATTGTCACTGCATCAATTCTGTCTGAAAGTCAAACTATTGCCCTTGGGCCAAATCCAGCCTGCCACTTGGTTTTGTAAATTGGAACATATCCATGCCAATATGTTTATTAGTTCATGGCCACTTTCCCACTGCAATAGCAGAGTTGAGTAGTTGCAAAAGGGATTGTATAGTTCACAAATTCCAAAGTTTTTACTATCTTGCTCTTTGTAGGAAAAGTTTGCCAACCATCTGGTTTAGTAAATCTTACAAACCTGAAAGAACAATAGTGGCCATGAGGAATGACTGGGGACTATAACTGACATATATTGTAGTTTAGACAGAGCTGCTTACTGATGGTTTGATGTGGAGCATTAAACATCTATCTAGTTATATTACCTTCACTTTTTCCAAATTGTAAGTAGTGTAGCACTTAACTCAGTTGTAAATATCACCTAGGATTTTACAAATTTCATGTTGAGTGACTTGTACCAATTGAGTAAATGCTGCCTTGATTTATTTCAGTTATAGTTTTATAAACTAAAATTAGCAGACAGAAATTTAAGGGAGAATATAATTGCCAGCCATAAGAATTACCTCCACACTGACACAAAAGATAGTTGAAATATGTAACCCTTAGTGTCCCCCAACATCCTTATAAGTGACTGCTGGAATATATTCCTGTTTTTATAGGGAACATGATTGGGAAAAGAAGAAAAAATTAAACACAGATATATATATATATATATATATATATATATATATATATATCCTCATAAAATATTAACTTACTGTCTGTTATATGCAAATTACCATGTTGAAAAAATATATCTCAAGGCTCAATAGGCTTTTAATTTAATAGGAAAAATAAATACACAAAGGACTTAAATGTATTAGAGTTAGACCTGTGCTTAGGAAGGGAAAGAAAGTGCCAGAGAAATTCAAAGAAGGGAATGAGAAATTGGTGGAATTGGTGAGGGAAAAGGAAAAGGGTCTTGGAGAAGTAGCATTTTAGATTAATCCTAATGGATTGATAAGATGCAGACTGGAAGAGAGGGGGCTGGACAACTGTGTCAACATTCCTATATGGAACAGGCTTGGAGGCAGAAAAGCATAGGTGTATTCCAGATCACTGGCCAACTCTGCCTGCATCACTGTCTCCCAAATGTTCATCTGCTAATTATTGCTGATCCTAGGTGATGTTTTCACCAATCCATGTTTTTTTAAAATAATAAGTACAGCATAATTAAATATGTTGTTATGCAGTTTCCAATTGTCCTTTCCTGGGCAGGATTATATTTTACTCAGAGATTGCTAGTGCTAGCGTGTTTTGTTTTGTTTTTAACTACCAAGTGTCCTTTTAGAAATGAAACAATGGTGCTGGTAGCTGGTGAGGTTGTTTTGTTGTTTGTTTGTTTTTTAATAACCTTTACTTGGCAGAAGAAAATGATAGCTACCGTGTGATTTTGTTATGAAATTGTACTAGTCCACGAAATCCCAAAGTCTCAAGCTAAATTATGGAGGCTTTGACTGTTATAGTAAAAAAGTAACTGAATTTGGCAGGTGATGCAGAGAATCACTGAAAGTTGTGAGCAGGAGAGCAAGCTGTTCTTTAGGAAGGTGATCTGGTAGTCTGTTATAGCGATGGCAGTGGGGAAAGAGCAGAGGTGAGGTGACCAACTATATTATTGCAGAGTCTGTAGAAAAGTAAAATGGCTTTGAATTGGTTTGAGGCAGGATACTGAAAAGAGTAAGATGGATATAAGTGAGGTCATAGACATGAAACCTAAAAGACCTGGCACATGATTGGCTTTAAAGGACCAAAAAGAAAAAGAAAAAAGAAAAGAAAGGACCAAAAAGAAAATTAAAAAGATGATTTCTTTTTTGTTAAAGATGATTTCTTATGATCATTAGGGTGAATGAGAGGTACACACAAACCTTCTGTACTCTTTTTGCAACTTCTTGTGAATTTTAAAGTGTTTGAAAATTAAAAGTTATAACAAAAAGAAGACAGAAAAAGGAAAAGATGACGTTTTCAGTGTCCAAAATATGCAGCAGGGTGGGCCTGTCAAAGCTGAGGACACAAGCACCATCGTCAGTGGGCTTCAGTCCATTGTTGCAATGTGAGAATGTGGCCCATGAGCAATACATTCAAGGGGCAGACTCAGTGAGCACCAAAGCCCCACTGAAGCGTTTCCTGCTCTGTAGGATGAACTGCACAGCAGCTCCCCTGCTGTAGTCATAGCCAGTCCTTGCAGCTGATCAGCCTGGGGGTCAGTCCCTCCCAGTGATGCCAACAGCAGTCAAGGCTCAACTATAACAGGACAGTGCACACAGCTCACTCAGTGCCACATATGGAGCACACAGCTCGGGTAACTGGGGAGGCTGCATCACTGGACCCCACAGGACAAGTACTACACAAGACCACTCTACCAAGTCCAGGAGATGTAGCATAAAAACAAACATAGGGAAGCAGCCAAAACGGGGAAGTAAAGAAACAGAGTCAAAGACACAGAGGACATTTTTACATTTGCCAGAGGGGAGGGAGGTTGGGGGGGGGGGTCTGGGTGAAAAAGGAAGGGATTTAGACATACAAATTAGTAGTTACAGAATAGTCATGGATGCGCATGTAAAGTACTGCATGGGGAATTTAGTCAATAATACTCTAATAACTATGTATAGTGTCAGATGGGTATGAAATTTATTGGGATGATCACTTAGTGAGTTGTATAATGTCTAATCACTGGGTGTTCACCTGAAATTAATATAATAACGTATGTCAACTGTAATTGAAAAATAAAAAACAATTAAAATTTAAAAATTTTAAAGAAAATATCTTGCTCTTTCCTGTCCTCTGTTTTTCCACCTCCTGCCTTGAACAGAGCTGTGCACATCTTCACTAATGTAGTAGAGTTTATTGACTTACACATACAAGATAGGAATTGCTTTCAAATCCATAAGGATTAGGTTGAAAGAAAGAAAGAGAAAAAAAGAAAGAAATCTCAGTTCTATGGACCCCTGCTATTGGTTATACCTCCTATTCCTGTGACAGTTTGGGAGTTGAGAGGGACGTGATACTGGCACATTGTAGTTCCAATCATAAATTTAAATCAGGTTGAAACAGAAAATTATGTATTTCCAAGGCCACAATAAATTATATTTATTCTTGGTAGCATGACTAAAGGTAAAGTGGCGTGCTTGAGAATTCCTTACCTTACATGGACACTTGTTTAGGCTCAGCCAACTAAGGCTTTGTGTATGTGTGTGTGCATGTTTATGTGTGTTTTAATTTCTACATCTGCACAGCATCTCCAAAAAGAATCCATTTAGATTAATGGCATTGCTGTTTGAGTATTGAAATCTTATTTTTTTCTTTTGAAATCTTATTTCTTTAAAATTTTTTATAATAGATTTTAAATGACAAATGATCTCTTTTTTTTCTTAGTGATAATTCACTGGTGTTCCAACCCGACAGATTAAGAACTAGAAGAAACAGTACAACATTTATGACACAACACTGTCTGGTAAGAAAATGCTTATAGCATCCTCACTGGCCAAGATTGTGCTCTTGGCCTTAACTAGTGGTTCTCAAACTTGAGTGTGCACCTGGAAAGCTTGTTAAAACAGACTACTGAAGATAAATTTAACTGATACTCAGAGTCTATTACTCTATAAGAATTCCTCAATCCAATAGAAATGTAAAACAAACAAACAAACAAAAATACAGACTCCTGGCCCTCAAACCCAGGGTTTCAGATTCAGAAAGTCTGGAGTGCGGTCTGAGAATTTGCATTTCTGACAAGTTCCCACTTTGAGAAACACTGTTTCTCAAAACCAGAAACATTACAGAAGGGCACATAAACATGTTGACTACAATCACACTTGTTTTGCTGAAACTGCAGCAGAATTAAGGGCTGTCTTTTAAAAATAAGTTTTATTGATTTTTTTCAAAAAGAGAGGAAGGGAGAGAAAAATAGAAACATCAATGATGAGAGAGAATCATTGACCAGCTGCTTCCTGCATGCCCCCTACTGGGGATCGAGCCCACAACCCTGGCTTGTGCCCTTGACCAGAAAACCTGGGACCCTTCAATCTGCAGGCCAATGCCCTATCCACTGAGCCAACCCTCTAGGGCGACAATAAATTGTTCATAGACTTCTCATATGATTTTTAACATGATGGAATCTATAGAGCGTATTTCAGTGAAATGTTATAGCTTGGAACTCATTTTTAAATATTACCTCCTAATCTTAGAACTGGACGTTTTCCTCTTTGTCAAATGATATTCAATATTACTCCACTGTCAACATAAGAAACATCCAAATCTGTAGAGAATTTTATGAGTTTATTTGAGCCAAACTGATGACATGCTGGGAAGCAAGATCTCAATGCTCTGGCAAATGACAGTTTTCTGGTTCTTTTTATATATTTAGAATTAAAGAGGGAAATAAAGAAGATTAAACAAGATTTTGTGCTCCCTCGAGAGTGGTTATACCTCTGAGGGGTCTGGAAAAGAGGATTATGTGTACTTCTGGCATTTCATAGGAATTTTAACCCAGGTGCACAAGAACAATGGAGAGGTCTTGCTTACCGCAAAGATAAACCTTTTATAGGCCTGGAGTATGATTACCCACCCCTGACTTTCCCAGTTAGGAATTTATGATTACATACATTAAGCTGTGAGATTACCTTCGGTTAGTGAATTTGTCAAATTTATTAGAGTCCCTTTTTTGTTTGAACTGCAAATGCACTAATGTTGTATTGGGTGGTGGTGGGGGGGAATAGAATTGTTCATTAAACAAATCTCCTTCTATCCACTCATTTACTCATGTTATTGTAATATAGTTAAAGGACCATAATGTCTGTATATAGAGTATATGTATATATTTAAGATCAGGTTAGTATGTCTTTTTAATTAGATTATAAACCTTAGTGTTTCAATTCTATATTGTGAATTTTCTGGGCATTTGGATGATGATGATATGAGCATCAGCAGCAGGAGTTAAATGTATTAAAATTCTGTTTACTCAAAGGTATGTGTGCATTTGAGGGTTTTTAAATTTTTTTTATTTATTTGTTGTTGTTAACCCTCACCCGAGGATATTTCCCACTGATTTCTAGGGAGAGTGGGAGAGAGAGGGAAAGACAGAAAGAAACATCGATGTGAGAGAAACACATCGATTGGTTGCCTCCTGCAGGAGCCCTGATGAGGGCCCAGGCCCGGGAAAAAGCCTGCAACCAAGGTATGTGCCTTTGACCGGAATCTAACCCAGGACCCTTTGGTTCGCAGGCCAACGCTCTATCCACTGAGCCAAACCAGGTAGGGAACATTTGAAGGGTTGTTTTTTGTTTTTATTTTTTGTTGTTTTTTTAAAGGAAAACCTAAGTTTTTTAGATTTGGTGCATGTACAACTTCTCAGTGATCAGTGCTAATAAAGGAGAGCACTGGGGGAGAATATCCCAAACTGGATAAATCAAAATAGTTTCTACTTGCTTTGGAAAGTAGATTATCTTTACAGTATGCCTTAAGAATGGGAATACAAATATTTTAAAATTAGCAGTAATATCTAATATTGGAGAGGTACAAAGAAATCCATATTCTCACACACTGCTGGAAAGTAAATTTGAATAAGCTTTCTGGAGGACAGTTTGGCAATGTGTATCAACAGCCTTGTGAGCCAGAAACTTCAACTCTATAATTGAGCCTGAAGAACTCATTAAGGGTGTATGCAAAGATTCAGCTATAAGGTTGTCATAGCATTATTTATAAGAGCAAGCAAAAAATATAGCAACAGTATTAATGTCCAACAGCAGGGAATATGTTAAATGACTAGCCTTCATTATCTGAAGCTGAATCCCAGTTCTAGGAATTACTAGCTATACAACCTTGGACAAGTTGCTTAATTTCTCTGGCCCTCAATTTTCTAATCTTTAAAATGGAAACAATGTCTACGTTGTGAGGTTGTTCTGAGAAATGAGTGAGATAAGATATGGCTGGTACATAATGAGTGCTTCTTCTTATTACAGAACATCCATAAAAACGCTAGAGTAATTGAATTTTAAGCTGGAAAGATATTTGTAATGTATTAAGTTATTTTTGTTTTCTTTCTAAAGTAAAAATTCAGTTTATTCACCTGCTTACAACATAGCACACAAGAGACAATGTGTTTCACGTCATAGATTTCACTTCCAACTTCTTTGTTCATTTTTTTTTGGGGGGGGGGGCTAAAAAGAGAGAGTAGCTGAGAAAGCCAGGCAATGCCTACCTAACTAAAATAAGTTTGGGGGAGATATGCTAATATCATCCGTACAGGAATGGGCACATGGGGGCCATTAGTTGCAAGCTGATTTTCTAGAACTGTTAGCTGAGAGCATAGGAACACCACTTCTGGATGCTCATGCTATCTCAGGTTTCAGTCAGCCCCACCACACAGGTACGGCAGAGCTCTCTGGTAATTGCCTTTACTGTCTTCCTGGATGGAGTCAGCAAAACACACTTGTTCTAAATACACTGGGCCAGGTCTCCTTTGACTAAGAGCTGTAGCTCTCACACCTTTCAAATAATATCTGGAGGCAACATGCCCTCTGTTCTGTCATGATGCTGATCCACTTGGAGCATCAGCTCCTTTCCTCTTTGCTTCAGCATCATAGAGATCCCAGGCATCTTGGGTCAATCAGTTCATAATCAATGATAGAGCCACCCTCTCTGCTCTTCTACCCTTTGCAAGGGCAACCATCAGCTTGCAGAAGTCACCAGATGTGTCAAAAACAATATCCTTTTTTTTTTTTAACAATGTCCTTCTTCAGATAATTCTTCAGATCTATTCCTTGTAGACTTAATTTCTTACAGCTCCTGGTTGGTCCTTGAGCAGATTATCTCAATGGAGAGTCCTTGTCAGTCACCAGACCCTTCATGGAGGAAGAAGGCTTTCAGCTCGGAAGCCTCATACTGAGCAGATATTTTCAGTAGGCCCCCGAATCATCTGTATCTGAATCCCAGTTGGCCAGACAAGGCTGACTACATTACTGATGCAAGTTACATTTTAGTCCTTCTTTGGTAGACAAAGGCAATATCCTGTTTCTGTTCATTGTTACAGCTGGTCATATGTTGACGATGGTGACCTCATTCACCTTTAGTCGTGATGGCTGCTTCAATGTTCAAAGTATCCTGCTCAGTATAAAAGTTGGTGTATGCTTTGACTGAGTTGTATGCACTTAGGGGTGTAGAGTGGTCATTCTCCAAGCTGAGCTTGCACAGAATTTCATGAATAGTGGACATTTTTATAGAAGCCGGCCCAAGAGCTGAGAACTGCAAACATCCCCAGATGCAGAGCCAGAATGTATTATTTAAAAAAAAAAAAACACTGAAAAATAGTATGTGCAGTAGGACCCAGGTCTGGAAAAATAAACACTGAGATATTTACTATATTCATCCCTGGATGGTGGGTGATGCTGTTTTTCCCCCCATGAATTATGTTTTATACTGAGCATGTATTGCTTTATAATGAGAAAAAAAGTGAATAGATTCCTGTTGCAAAAGAAAAGAGTGGGGTAAATAGGTGAAGCACAGTGGATTTTTAGGGCAGTGAAACTACCTGATATAATACTGTGTGATGGATACATGTTATTTTGAGTTTGTCCGAACCCATAGAGTGTACAACAAGAGTGAACCCTAATGTAAACTATGGATTTTGGGTGATAATGATGTACCAGTATTAATGTAGGTTTATCTATTATAACAATTTACCACAATTGTTTGGTTTTTGATAGTAGGGGAGTCTATGCCTATGTAAGTGTAAGGGAAATCTCTGTTCCTTCCACTAAGTTTGGTAGTGAACCTACAACTGCTCTAAAAATTAAGTTTATTAAAAACTAATTAGAATAAAATATCAGATGGGAAAAAGAATGAAGAATGCTGGGTAATAGGGAATAGATAACCCTAGTTTTATAAATATCACATATAATCCAAGTTGTTGTTTATAGATCATTAAACATTCAATTCTATAAGTGTTTGATGATGGTGGTAGTGGCAGTGATAATTAGCTTCTTCTTTATACTCATCACTGGATAGAAACTGAACCAGGCTCAGAGATGATGAATATCTGAGTATGACTACTCCAAAGTTAGATAGACGGTGCTGTTAGGTATAATCTGCTCTTCTGTAGATACCAAAGTAGATAATTTTTCTACTTGAAGGGAATTCAAGGCTTTCCATCATCTTCACCCTCTTGGCCTCAGAGTCTTCTATCCTTCCACAAATGCTGGCATGCCAATCAAACAAGACTAGCAACCTTTCCTAAAATATTTCAAGCACTCATATTGCTTATGCTGTCCTACAAGGTTCAATTCAAATTTCACCTTATGCCTTTCTTATCTGTCTCCCACCTCCCACCCCCTACACCTATACACTTAATTTTGTTTTTTATACCTACCACACTTTGCCTCCATCTCACACTCATTTACTTGTCTCTTACATAATATTTGCTATGATGTCTGGATTGTTAGGTCTCTGAGAGTAATGACT